GAAAACAAAACGATACATCTATGGTAATGGCGGGGGGGGGGGAATAATGATCAGATGTGAGATCCAACTAATGCAGATGTGTATTTGTGTAAAGCTGACTTTCTGGTCCGGAACCGCTGCTGGGCAGAGACACTGATCCTTAATCTTGCAGGCCCGTCATTACAATAGATGTATCGTTTTGTTTTCCACCCTGTTTTACATTAAATGAACCGTTTTTTTAATAATACTTATTATTATTAGTTGGGTTGTTTTAAATTAACCTATTGTGAATCCTCCATTAATAAATCAATTAAGTCCAATTAATGGCTCTAATGAGGTGTTTCTGACTGAGCGGGTCACACCTGTGTCTTCTTCCCGGTGCAGGTAACCACATGCGCGTGCCGGTGTCCCCGCGCTGAGCACGCAGGGTACAGGGGTCAGAGAGAGACGCGAGACAAGGCGGACCGGATGACAGCCAGACCCGCCGAGGCCCCGGGGCTGTCGGTGCCGCTGCACCGCTGCCGCGGCGGGTTCGAGGCCGGCAACGGCACCTGCGCGGAGCAGCTCGGCCTCCTCCCGCCGTTCTCCTCCACCCTCGCGCTCCTCGTGCTGGTGGCCGTGCTCGTGGGGGTCGTCCTCGTCTCCCTGGCAACGTTCCACTTCCACAAGAGGAAGCTTCGGAACAGGAAGATCCAGCGCGCGCAGGAGGAATACGAGCGCGACAGCCGCAGCCCCGCGCGCGCCGCCCGGGCGAGCGGCGGCGGGGAGCCCGCGAGGCCGTGCGTCATAGTGAGGCCGGCGGGGCGCGAGGAGAAGCCCTCGTGCCGGAGCGGCGCGGACAGCGGGGACGCCGCGGCAGAGGACAAAGAGGCGCCGCGCGAGACAGTTGACTGTTGACTCAGAAACTTCAGGGAACGAGACTGTGGAATAAAGTGGAAAAGCAATAAGGCACAAAGACCCCCCCCCCCCCCACCCCACACACACTCCCCCCTCACACTCCCCTCTCCGCTGCTTGTATGAACAGTAGATAAAGAACCACAGAGACACAGCTCAGTGGACACACTCATGTTTCTTTCGGGCCACGCCAGTGAGTTGATCGTGATTTACGGATGAAGACATGATGGAGCGAGGGTTTGGGACAAAACTTAAAATGGATTCAAATGGTGCAGCCCACCCCTCAGATGGAAAACAAGAAATGTACAAATAGGGACTGATGAATGTCAAGGATGACCTGCAGAATGAGGATTGAGAATACAATCAAATTAGGCTGTTTTCAGATTAATTTGATCGATCTGATGAACATAACTGGGTTTGTTTTATAAAGCAGTCTCAGATTACATTAGTTGCGCTTGGCGTTTAAAAAAAATTCAATTCAATTCAATGAACTTTACGGGAGTTTGTGGAGGGCCTTGGGAACATGAGTGTGATGAGAAGAGGTCATGAAAAGGATTGCTGAGGATGAGTTTGATGAGAAGGGGCAGGTATTGAGGAGATAAAAAAGGTTTAAAGGTGAGGGATGAAAATGACAAATGAGAGGAATGAGAATAAAAGGATTGAAGACGACAAGGACAATAGGTTGGATGGAAAAGTTAATTAGTGGGATGAGAAAGTGATGTGATCAGGATGACTATGGAATGAGTAATAATGAGAATTTGTGGCATTAAAAAGAGTATAAAAAGCAAAAGGATGATAGCACTTTGAGATTTTTGTTAATGAAAAGTGCGTTACAAATTAAATTCATTATTATTATTATTGTCTGAATGAGAAAGAGCAAGGATGGAAAAAGTGAGATGAGAAGAGGGAGAGGTGAAAAAAGTTAGATGTTAAATATTAAATGTGACAGATGATGAATGAGGAGGATGTGGGATGAGAAGATGTAAAAGGGGGAGGATTAGTGTGATGAGAAAGAGGAATAAAGAGGATGAGTGGCATGTGGGGAGAGATAAAGAGGATGAATGGGATGAAAATGGGGAAATATCAGAAAATGTACAAATAAAGAATGATAAAAGTAAGTGGGATGAGAAAGCAAAAAGATGACGAATGAGTGGGCAAAGGAGGGGAATGAGGAGGAAGAGTAGCATAAGAAAAGCAATGGGAAGGTTGAGCAAAGATATGACAAAAAGTAAAGGCGATGAGAATGAGTAGGATATTAAAAGGGATAAATGATAAATGAGGATGTGGGATGAGAAAAGTTAAAGGAGATGGATGATAAATTAGTAGGAAATGATAAGAAGAGGTACTAGTAAGAATGAGGACGTTAGGTGGGATTTTAAAGGGACTAAATGAGAAATGAGGATGTGTGAGGAAAAGGGAAATATTATAGGAGGAAAAGTGTGACAAAGGAGACAGATAAGAAATGAGGATGTGAGACGTGAAAGGGAAGAGATAAGGAGGATGTCTGTGAAGTTAAAGGGAATAGCTGAAATAAGAATAAATAGTATGAGAAGAGGTGTACACTGGATGAGGAGGATGAGAAGGTATGAAGCGAGGGAAAGTTAAGGGAGGGGGATGATAATGTGGTAAATGTGTTGGAATGAGGTGAGAAAGCCTGCCAGGTGATTGCAGGTGAGGTTGAGACGTGGCCCTGCTCATATTTTAACAAGTCATTTAGCAAACCGGCAACTCAACTGTAAGCATTGGTCTGCTTTGATTTTTGGGGACCTCTTCCTCCCTCTTCCTCCTTCCTCAGCCTCGTTTAAGCCTCACAGATATTTAAACTTTAAACTCTCACTGGGATGAGACACACGGTTGTGTTAAATTATTAAAACTTGGTGAAACAACTCAGTCCTTGGCGGCTCGCTGATCTTCCTTGGCATGTCCTCTGACACACTACCAGTATGTAGTTAGACTATAATGGATGTTGTGGTGCTGTTAGGCAGTGCAAAGCTGCATATACGCTATAGAAACGGCTTATTTGTTTGCGTAGTATTTTTTCCTTCAATTAAGTGACTTAGCATATTTGCATAAAGTACTGTCCTCTAATGTCGTTTAGACATTTGTAGGTAGCTTTAGATAGCCCGACAGGATGCAAGACCTTTTTGCTGTAGTTATGCACACAAACCTTTTTTCCTTAAAGTGTCAAATAGGCTAGTAAGTTTTAGCGCTTATTGAGTATTTTGATTTTTGAGTATTTACAGTATATTCTCTGACATGTATTGAACTGAGAATTCTTCCAGCGAAGGCTCTTGGTTGAAGCCAGTCTTTTTTGATCCTTCATATCGTATCATTGTGAGCCTGATAAAACTACTGTCATTTATGAATTCATTGTAGACGTATGCCACTATGCGAGCTGGAATGTTTTGCAGTAACATCTTTCTGGAGTTCATATAATCTGCCTTATCCAAGGAAACTATGTAAAATTAAAAGTTTATAAATAAACACCTAAATGCTTTGTGTCAATATCCTACATGTGCAGCCACATATTGTGGTTAACAATAATGAGCGTTGAACAGACAGGCGACATATGGCGCTGTGTGCGAACAGATTTTGATTACAAAACCAGCTTTCTTGGCCCTCTCCATGAGGCAAAGAAGCGTGCACGAGAACCACTGAAACGTGTCGACTACATGCACTACAAGTTATGTCTGCTGAATACAGAATCAGCCTCACTCCAAATACAGCAAAGTCACCTGTTCAGACTCTATCATCCCTTATGTGATTTACTGGCATGAAGGTTGGACGTCCCCTTCCTTCAACAGTGAAGCCACATCATGTCCTACCTGAGGGTCAGAGGAAGCGAGTCTGCATCTGTCACTATGTTGGTCCGGTGCCAGAACATCGTGTTCCTAATTGTCTCTAACAGAAAAAAGGGCTTGAGAATATGAAGCAATCTTTGGCCAGACGCCAGCCTGGGAAGATGCCCTTATCTCATTGGCATAAGTGCAGCACAATGAAACCATTTTTCTCCTGCAGGGAAAGTGGAAGAAAGTCAATGAAAGATGACTAATGCATTCTGCATTTGACCTCAGCCCCTTCAGAGCAGTTATTAGAAGAGGATTTAGAGGATCACGCGTTTTCAAAACAAGAACATCACAAATACATGTAGGCCATGAGAAATGGTTCAAACGTTACAACCAGATTTTGATTTCCTGACTTGTAACGAAGACGTTAAATAAGTTGTATTTTCTGAAAAGATAAATATATAACGCAGTAAATGCTGAATGATTTACAGAGGAAAGAGTTGTTAAGTGAATTGTTGTAGGACATTCAAACAAGCAAAACAGAGAGTAAAATGGACAAACAGTAGCGAAAACCAAAAAAGTAGTGAAAACCTAAATTTAGCTAAACAGCAGCTAAAGGCTAAAAATAATATAACCATTCCTTAAAGCTAAAATGAGCAAAACATTAGCTAAAGCCTGAAATAAGCAAAACATTTGCTAAAGGCGAAAATTAGTAGCATAGCTAAAAGCTCAAATATGCAAAACAGTACTAGAGTACTACTACTACTACAAGTACTACAAAACAGTAACTAGAGGCTGAATTTTGCTAAACTGTTACTAAAAGCTAAAATTACAAAAAAACATAACTAAAATCTAGAATTGGCAAACAGATGGTAAAGGTTAAAATGAGCAAAACTATAGCTAAAATTTGCAAATTAGTAGCTAAAACTACATTTAACAATAGCTAAAATGACTGAAAATGTAGCTAAAACCCAAAATAAGCACAAAAAAAAGTTAGCTAAAATTAGCCAAAGCATACCAAAAAGGAAAACTGTGGCAAACATTTTTAACAAAGCTAAACCTTAGCTAAAAGCAAAAATAAGCTGAACTACAGCTAAAAGCAAAACTTTGCAAAACAGTTGCTAAAAACTCAAGTTAGCAAAACCATAGATAAAAGCTAGAATAGGAAAAGTGGTGGCAGAATGCTAAAAATAGCTAAAGCTGTTTCAGCTAAATAGTTACTAAAATCTAAACTTTTTAAAACAGTAGCTAAAAGCAAATGTTAGCAGTAGCTAAAAGCTTAAAAGAACAAAAGAAGACAAAATAGAGCAAGTATGCTGAAGTAGATTTCAGGTGATGTTTTAAAGAATTGAAAAGACCTCAATGCATTTCTATGGTAATAATTAAAAATATATAAAAGTTACAAATAATATAAGCACACTTCTACGAACTGAGTCAAACATTCTGACATATGATGTTTTTAAAAGCACAAGATTTATTAAAGTCATTTGATGGCAAAAAAAAAAAACAAACATGGAAGAAACTATAAAAATGAAACTATCACAATCACACGATAATTGTATGTTAAAACATTTTCATGTATCTTCGTTTGAGCTGCAGTGGGGTCAATTCTTTCCAATAAACTGGAATTAAATTAAAATTTTAGGTGACTAGGTCTCTCTTACCGGGAGATAATGTGGGATATTTAAGGCCGGTTGCCAATGAGGAAATTTATCAGTGATTTTATGGGTTGTAGCAGGTAAAGATGACCGAAAGGTACAAAGTCAACGGCTGAGGCTGAAGGTGAGCGGCTACAGGAAAAATAGCCGGCCGCTCTCAGCTGTCAGGGATGGATGAAGATCAGTGGCTGTGAATAGACAGGCGAATGTTAGGAGGAAGGGAATGGTTGGCTGTCAGACGATGGGGGTTGGATGTCAGCAGTTGAAAATAGATGAACGTCAGTGGTTTCAAGTGAATTAAGATCAATGAGTGGTAATGGACAGAGGTAAGTGTCAAGGAATGAGGAGTTGTTGTACGTCAGCGTCTAGGAATCTAAGTCAGCTGCTACGGATGCATACGAGTCAACCGTTTGTGACGGTGGAACGTCAGTGAATGGAAGCTGATATAGATCAATGGTCAGGATTAATAAATGTTAATGGAGGCCAGGGGCTGCACGATGGAGGTCAGAGGCTAGAAGTGAATTAACTACATGAGTGGGAATAATTTGTAACGATAGAAATTTGCATTTTCTGTGAGCACGCAGCGTGAAAACTGAGTTCTGAATGATTTGGATGCAACTTGCTTAAGAAGCTGAAACTGAGTTGTTAAAGTTAAAACAAGCAAAAATAGATGCTAAACTTTACAGTATAACAATAGCTAAAACCATAACCTAGCAAAAAGGGAAAAGCTAAAATCTGTAACATAAAATATAAAATAAAGAAAAACCATAGATAAAGCTTAAAATTAGCTAAGATTAAGCTAAAATCTTGAATTGGCAACACCAAAGCTAAAGGCTAAAATTAGTAAAACCACAGCTAAATGTTAATATTAGCACAACTGTAGCTAAAATGAACACTAATGTATCTAAAAGATAACATTAGCAAAACTGAGTTGAAAAAAGGCAAAATTACATGGAAACATTTAACAAAACTATAGCGAAAAGATAAATTTAGCAAAACTGTAGCTAAATGCTCAAATTAGCCAAACTGTAGCTAAACATTATTCCGCAAAGCTTTAACTGAAATCTACAAACTGTAGCTAAAATCTAAAAATGAAACATGCTTAAATAGAGTTCAAAGAGTCCTTAATGTTTTTTGAGAGGGGAAAAAAAAAGAACAAATGTTACACCAAAACAAAACTTAGACATTATGAGCCGAACGTTTTGATACCTGAATAATTAATATAAAATGATTGAAAGCTGAAGTAGTTACTTTCCAAAAACAAGAAAACAAGCGAATGGATGCTGACTCAGCTTTCACACGATCAAAGATGAACAGAATATAAAGATTTTACATAACAATACTCAATATCCCTCAAACTGAATGACATTTAGGAATGAATGGGACGCTTTAGCTAAAAGGTTTTGTCCATGAATGAATAGAATGTAAATTGAAGTCATACGAGATAA